CACATGGAAGCGGTTTTACAATAGTGAGTGGTTTTTGGTATGAAGATTTGCATATACTGGCTATGAATGAGATTATCTTGGATTAAATTAAACCCAAGTTAATGAAACATTTAAGAAGTAAAATTAGCTTGTTTAAGAATAGCGCCCAGTGTGTGCAATGATGAGTAGCACTGCAATTAGTATCTCAGTACATTACGTTCTTATGAATAGAACTGATGACATTGATTTTCGTCTTTAAACTATAAGGGCATTTGTGCTTTAAGTTACAAATATTTTCCTTTTTGACTTTAAGTGTCCTGATTCCTTTCGCTTCACACAGTTCAGCATATAGTCGCGGCATAGTGTTCCACAACTTTTGTCGTCTTGTTGTGTCCTCTTTTATTCCAACTCTGCAAAAGTTATTTTGGAGATCTGTCATACACCAAATAGTCGCGGTTTGTGTTCCACTACCTGTGGGCTAAAATTGGTTGAGGAATTTTTTTAAAATTATGGTGTACCTTAATATAGATATATTGGACTCTGTTCAGGTTACAAACTATCTTCAAGAAATGGCACCTAATCTTTGTGAAAGAGTTGAGTTGCATGGTACAAGAACTCCCCTGTTTGATGAATACAACATTGAGGAAGAAATAAACAACATTCTCAGCAAAAGGTGGAGATCACTTTGTTTCTTTCTTTTAGCTTTATGTCTTTTATGACATGTATTTTAACTTCTCGTGAGTCAAAACGTTTCATGTTTCATTGATATTCCTCCTTAATCCTTTGATTTATAAAATTTGCAGGGTTCCCCTTGATAATGGAGGTTATTTAGTGATCGAACAGACAGAGGCTTTAGTCTCCATCGATGTAAATGGTGGACATTGTGTGCTTGGTCAAGGGACTTCACAAGAGATGGCTATTCTCAATGTTAACCTTGCAGCTGCTAGACAGGTATGTAGACCTGCATCTATTTTGATTACACATTGTATTCCAAGAGCATAGTCTTTCTACACCTGGGAAAGTTGGTTATCAGAAAACAAACTAGGATATGCTTAGAAGATCCTTTTTAATGAATTAGAAGATGCTTAGCGTTTGATGGAAATACTTCAATCCAACACTAAAATATGTCTCTTGACAAGCTACACTGCTTCTCTTTTTTCCTGTGGTAGACAAGGCCTCATTTGTAGCCTAGTAGTATCTTGTCAGATCCCAGAACAGAAGAATATTCTGTTGATGCACCTTCTATGGAGAATTAATTCTTTAAAAAAAAGAAACTACACAGGGTATCATGTCCATGTTGCCGTTTTAATCTGCTATTGGTTTGGACATAGCATGTCTGAATTACGTGCTAAACCTCTATTTTTTTTTCTTGGAGGGGATAACCAAGACATCCCTGAGCGTATGTGGATAATGTGCCCGCTCTCTACCTTTCTTCAGTTAAATACCACGCTTTTGTCATAGGAAGGTTCGATCTCTTCACGTGTCTAACCCACACATCACACATTGTGCTCTTACCACTAGACAAAACCAACGGGGATAATCTGTGGTTGCTTTTATGCACCTCTATTTAAGTCGCGTTAATTTGATCCAATTTAGCAGTCAGCCTGGGCTGCAGAATTACACACATTTTTAAAGAAGGAAGGAAGCAGAAACCAATCCAAATAAGCAAGTATCCATCATTCGAATTCAAAGAAATACTGCACTTCTAGTTTCATTGGGTGTTTCTGGTTAGATTTGAACCTTTTATCTGAGAAACCGAGCTAGTTACTGAAATGTACGACAACACAGGATTACATTGGATCTTTTTTGTTGATAAAGACAACATAGTATTGCATTGGTTTTCTTTCTATATGTTAAGTTTATTATTTGCGACAGATTCCCATTTTTTATTTTATCTGATAATTGTTGTCATTTATGTATATACTGAAAATTATTCTCAGATTGCTAGGGAAATAAGGCTGAGAGACATTGGTGGCATTATTGTGGTGGATTTCATAGATATGTTGGATGATTGTAAGTAAACAACCCTCTCTCCGCCCTTTCCCCTCCTCTCTATGTGTGTGTATGTGTCACAGGCGGATCCAAGACTAAATTTGATGAGTTCAACCTTTAAATTCTTAGCACAGAACTGAATGTTCTTCTAAAATTATGATGTGTGTGGTCTTTATGTGGTATTGATGCACAATATTTTGTTTAAATGGGATTACTACTGAAAATAAGAAAGAAAAAAGAAGAGACATAAATTTATATTATGGTCTTCTATGTAAATCTAAAATTGAAGTTAACCTTGTCGAATGCTTGGTAACTAAACGACATTATTTGTAGTACATAACACCTACTGTTCATCATCTAAAACCGGCATGTAATCAGACTGAAAGTTTCGTAATCAGTGCCATCCTACTATGCCTCTCTCTAAACTATATTAGACACTAAGCTCATGCCATATGATTTATAAGATGATAACTTGAAATCGTCAATACATTTTGAAGATGTAGTCCTCTTCTAAGTTTTTTCTTTTATTTTGTTTTCCAGCAAATAAGAGATTGGTCTATGAGGAGGTCAAGAAGGCTGTTGAGAGAGATCGATCAACAGTTAAGGTGTCTGAATTGTCCAGACATGGGCTTATGGAGATTACCAGGAAAAGAGTATGTTATTTGGTGCTGAATTTCTGTCATAACTACACTAGTGGAAATATCTAATTAATCATGGTTGGTCGTTTCATCTTATACCTGACAGGTTCGACCTAGTGTGACATTCATGATCAGTGAACCATGTATGTGCTGCCATGGTACGGGGAGAGTGGAAGCTTTAGCGACTGCATACTCTAAGATTGAACGTGAAATTTGCCGGTTGCTAGTAAGTAAACTAACGGCATCTTGAGATGCCTTTGCAAGGTTATCTTCTTGGATTCCTTACTATCTGTTAAGCTGCAAAAAGGTTGATCCAAAATCTTGTCTTTGGCAAGCTAATCCATTCTTACCACTTGGTCTCCATTTTTCCTCCTCTTCTTTTGGATCTTTCTGAATATAGTTCAACATGATTTGACATAATGACCGCTTTCCCCAAAACTGATTGTTGTTTCTTGTGTTGATCAGTCCACAACGGATCTGAAGGCAGACCCTGAAAACCCCAAGTCTTGGCCCAGATTTATTCTCAGGGTAGATCAGTACATGTCTAACTATTTAACTTCAGGAAAGAGGACAAGGCTAGCAATCTTGAGTAGTTCTCTCAAAGTTTGGCTTCTTCTAAAGGTATGCTTAGTCATTTTATCCATTCTCATAACAAAATATCACTTTTATTTCTGTATTTGCTGATTTTGTAAGCTGTGATTAACCAGGTTGCTAGAGGTTTTACCAAAGGGACCTTTGAGCTAAAACCTTTAACAGGCGACAAGGAGTACAAGGGTGATGAACGTGAAACATCTATTTCAGTGTTGCGACCAACAGAGGGTGGATTTCACCCCCCTCGGAAAAAAGTCACCATCTTCCCCATCAAAAAGTGGAGTAGTGGAAAGTGATGTTACCTCCATTAAGAATCATCTGTACAGGTCTCAAAAAACAATGCAAATCCACATATGGTTAGCATAAATTTATTAGCCAATTCTTTCTTCCCTCTTGAGTTTTTCTCGTCGGCTTGTAAGAAATAGCTAGTTTTATGAGGAAATCAATTTTGCATAGCATGTACGCATTGATAATACATATTTTCCATTTCTTATCTGCCCTTGCCTTTGTAAACCATAACATAAGATTCATTTATCTCATAATCATGAGCTTTTGCCACACTAATTGTAATTTAGCATGATGCTGAAAATAGTTTTGTGTCTCGTCTTTCATTTCCACTCTTCCTTTCCAAACATAAAGGTCCATAGAGATGGAAAATGAAAAAGCAAAAGTGAACCTCTTCATTCAAGTTCAAAGACGATCCTTTACTTCCGAGCCTCAACCTCACTTGGTAGACTGTCTTAGGAAAAATAATGCATACATTAGCTTTATGTATTATTAGTTTGAGCTTTTAAAAATTGAAAATAATAATTAAATTTCATAAGTTAAAATACGGAAAAGAGTCAAAATTGCCCTTGAACTATGTGAAATAGATTACTTGTACCCTCCGTTACATTTTGGGATCAAAAATACCCCCGCTGTTATCCTAAGAGACCACAAATACCCTCAAAGAGTTTAACACCTCAATTTTTTTAGTGATGTGGCATGCCACATAGGACTTATCCTTCACCTAAGCGTTGTCAACTAGGATTCATTACAAAAGAACTAGACCTTTAGGGCGACAATAGTCGCCACAAAATCCCAAAAAATCGTTACTAAAAGTTTTTAACATCAAATTTTAATTTTGTGTTTTTTTCTTCATTATTTTTTAAAAAAACAAAAATGATGTCGATTAAGCAGGAGTTTGAAGATACTGTTTAATTTTTATGTTATATGAAAATGTATAATAATGCATTATATAGTAGGAGATGTGAATCGAGAAGTAATTTTCATGATTTTTCGTAATAATATTGGGTGTTTATAATATTAATATTGCAAGTTAATTATTTTAGAAAATGAGGTTGCAATCAAAAATTAATTATCATATTTTTTTGTTGAAAAAAAAGGTTTTACTATTAGTCCTCACTAAAAATCACTCATGAGATTTTTGTGGCAACTTTGTCGCCACTAAAGATTAAGTTCTTTTGTAGTAGATCTTCGTTGGCAACGGTTTGGTGGAGGGATTAGTTTGATCTCAAAATGTACTGGAGGATATAAGTAATCTATTTCGCATAGTTTAGGAGCAGTTTTAACCCTTTTCCGTTTAAAATAAATACAAAATGTATCAAAGTAAGTCAACATGTACTTGTTTGGGTCATCTTACTTATTATTATTTTTTTATGATTTTCTTGTTTTAATTTGTTTTTTTACAAATTGAAGAATTACATAAAATATATTATAAATCAAATAATTATAAGTTATATAGAGAAATTATTTCACTTTTAAAATTTTATCGGTGCCAAATAAATTAGGACAAAAAAATTAACATATAAAATGTGGTTAACTTTCAAAATCATTTCAATGTCACATAAATCGATATGGATAAAGTACCATATATCATTTGAAAATGATTCTAACAATAATGTAAATTACAATAATTAACAAATTCAAGTGAGACTCCAAATTCGATATGTATTGGGGCCGTGCTAGCACGCACTGAATCCAATGTCAAGTATTAGGATACAAGACAAGTGATCAACAGCAACACCGACAGGATAAAACATCTGAGCATGTGTAGGGTCTCAACTTATCTTCAAGTTCTTGTCCTGTTGGCAGCGGTTCCATCCTATATTTGCTACGCTGGGCACAGCAAAACTCATACAAGTTTCTGCATGCTCCGTTACTAAATGGATACACTCTTTCAGGAATGTTCCTGCAAATTAAAGCAAGTTTAAACTTGAGCTTAAAGACGAGACAATTTCCTGATGAGAATACATGTTCCATTTGCTTTTGAGATATCAATTAATCACTCAAAGATGTTGACCATAACTGCAACTAAGTCCAATGTTTTTGACCATATCATCCAGAGTAGTGGCTCGAAGAGACAACATAGACATCTCTATGCAACTACCCAGTAAATAATATCACACAAGAATTGGAAGGATATAACCAACCTCAAATACTGGATGCGCCGTCGTCTCACAAGCTCATATGTGGTCTGATTTGTCAAAATTAGATAGCTGATTCAACAAACATGAGTTCACACACTTTAGCTACAGGAGCAAGAAAAGTATGGGGAATAATATAGGCACAAATAACAGGGTTTCACTCGCAACTTATGAAGTTTGCATAGCTTAGCTCTAATATGTGTCTCCCTCCTTCACAAGACTGAAAGGAGGTAACTAAGCATCCTACACTGAAATCTTTTTTTTTTTTTACATGAGATGTTTATTATCTTAAGAATCAGCAACTCTGCTGACCAAACAGATGTTCCAGAATCTCATATAACCTTATTTTTAGAAGGACCAACAATAATTTTAAGAACATAAATCTAACAAACTTCCAACAAATTCAAAATTAATGTGCTAGGCAATGCTAAATGAAGTCCGTCTTCAGCAAAGAGAAATCTTACCTATGAAAAAGTAGGAGGAGGAGAAGGAAGATGAGGCAGAAAAACAGAGTAGCTAGCAGCAAGATCATAATTGCATATAACCACCTGCCAAAAAAGCCATTATAGCATTTCTCTTCAGATTCATGTAAAGATTCAAATTGGATGAATTTCACAAGTTTTGTTCTTTTACAGAAGGATATGTGCGATTCAACAAAAACATGAAAACAGAAGCAAGAATATCAGTCATGTCAGTACCATCTTGTCATGAGATGCAGGCCCTTTCTTTAACTACTGTTTTCCACTGTTATTTTTATCTCTTGAAATTTGGTTTTTGCAACCTATACAACTAAATTAGAGCTCATAGTCGGATATTTTAAGGGAGCCCAATCAGAAGTCAGAACCAGATGAAGCTCCCTTGCTGCTTTCACACTAACTGCTGTACTTGTTAGCAATTTTTAAAAATCAAGGTAGTGCATATTCCACCTATGAGCTTTGTATGGATGGTCCTATCTAGATTCTAGATAATAGAACATGGGTTACGGTATGCTGACAGCCAATATAAGATAATCATCTAATTTTTTTGGGATAAGTCTTCAATTGCTATCTTAAGATAATCACAATAGCTTACATTTCATGGTTGTATAAGATCCAATAAGGGTAGTGGCATTGACTCTCTTCAAGCTTCTTATTTCTCAGAAGACGATATGATATTTCAAACAGCAAGTAAAATATTCCAATATGTGCAAGCTTACCTTTTGCCAACTAAAGTAAATGAATAACATCTTATTATAAGTTTGGGTATGAAAACTGAGCAGTTTAATCTCCCTTTAGTTTTTTTAGTTTTTTCTTTTGGGGTGCATATTGTTCTTCTCCAATTCTCCCCCCAGAACCTCCATCTTTATTTTCTTCTCGGAAGGAAGATCAGTAAGGAGCAGAGGAGAAACATAATAAGGGAGGCTAAGCAGAGAAGCTCTTAAATGATAAAGCATCATAAAATATACATACCAAGGCTTTGAATATATATCAGACTTCAAAAATTGAATATATAACGTGCCCGTCCAAAGGGATAAGGCTGTTTCTCCACAAATGTACCACCTGTCATACTTGGGAAAATAAATAACCGAACCAAGACCAATTACTTGAAACCCTAAAAAGAATCTATGACCAGTTAAAAGTTCAGGAAAATCAAGCACCCTGACATGCTTCATTCATGTTTATAGATGAAGAAAAATACATCAAATTACAGGAAAGTACATTATGACAAGTCCCCTACTAAATAGTGTCTTCATTGTGGTCTTAAGAGTAGAAAAGTGATCATGTCACTTACACAAGACTTATAACATTGAATTAGACACATCGAAGTACACATATATCCCAAGCCCAGATAACTAGTTCAATATGTTCTCACAATGATCTTTAAAATGACCAACATCCTCTTATAGGTTTCTCGAACTGATAAACTATGCTGACACGGATACGTTTCAAAAGGTTCAAGCTAAAATTGAAGCCTCTTCATGAAAGCAAGAATTTTGAATGAGACTTTATATTCATTAATTAGCGAGATAACTATATTAGTATCATTATCTGAAATAACATCTACATCTAGGACCTAAATCTCCAATTGACATGTTCTAATCATATTAAATCCACACCAACTTTCCACTTAGCTCCAAAATAACATGTGGAAACCATCATAGAAATAAATCTTTATAATACACAGCAAGACTTCTTTCATTTAGTTCTTCTGAAGGTACAAATAAACATTTCAATCAAATCGCAAGAAAAATTTCACTGAACTGCGAACAAGATAAACACATTAATGGTGCATCAACTTAGTAGCATGGATGCTCACCAAAAAGCGCAATGATTACCCTGTCCTATGCATGTGCCAAGCCAAACACAATGATGATCAAATTGAAGAACACATTTGTCACAATCATGACAATGTTTAGCGCGTGGAGGCTGCAAATCAAGCAGAGTAAAAATCAAACGTTGTTGACATAACTGACAAATGTAGTCTAGTGGAAGTATAAGCTCTAGGCACTTCACAAGACAGAAGTCACTGTATAAGGTCCATTATAGAAATTGGTTCTTCTGACACAAGTAAACTTTTAACTTTGGCAAATGGCAACCATAAACTTATTGGATAAATAAGTGTGCAAATATTAGGATAAGCACAATAGTATAAATCAGAAATCAGAAGGTCATAAACCATTTGAAACAATTGAATATATATCTGTCCTCAACCTCATTTCAATGTGAAGGGTTAAGTGAGGCACAACACAAGAAAATATTAGCACCAAATTGCTGTCACAAGTTTGCCTCATTTCCTTCCAAATCTAGGTGTAGTCAGTATTTGGCTTTGAAATCATGTCACTAGTTTGGCTAATATTAAAATGCTCCTATAATCACTAAGTATCATCAGAAGTACCGAAATGTTTGTTCTGCAAACAAATGGAAGACAGAAAGAAGAAATTTTTACCTGCACAACATTACAGTAACTGCAAGTCACACCTCTGGAGAAGAGAACAAAAATGAGTTAGCAAGGGAACTGATGCTTTTGCAAATTGAATCATGCAATTTATAACTACAGAATCGACAGTCATACTTCTATACAAAAGTGGTGTAAGGGGAAAGGAAATGGGAAAGATAAAAGTAAATCTAAATTAACATGGTCATTTTTTTTTTCTAAAATCCATGGACTATAGCCAACGTAAAACAGTAAAAATTTGGTCATGCCCGCTCTGGGCCTTGTTTGAACTTGAAAATGTGGACGTTTTCCCCTCGGGACCAACTCACGCCATTAATAAGGTCTTAAGGGATTAGGAAAGAACATTATTCATCCATGAACTCCCTTATCCCTAAGGGCCTAAACCCATAGCCCTAAGAAACCGTAAGAAACCCAAATCTTCAGTGACCAATGGCACAAGGTTCCTCGGTGGATAATGGGTCCACCCTGTTCTCCATTTAGATACCAGGATTTTTCCTGAGGCATGATTGAACTTGTAACGAGGGACTAACCCACAGATCATGCTGGAGGCACTTGTATTACATGGCTATTAGCTATTCCATGAAATGATTCAATAATAACACATCTCCGCAGAAATTTTCATTATATTTCAACTTCCTTTGTTATCGAATGAAAAATTACAAATTTCTGAACATTCACAGGAAATCATACAGGGTTGTTACAGCTTTTCCCCTCCATATAAAATCTACAGCATGCTGCAGTTAGCCAAATCCTCACAATATCTCAGTTAGCCAGTTGGGGGTACCTTCTGATGCTGAGATGCTTTCTGTATCTAAGACTATTGACAACTTTTCATCTGAATCTCATAGTTATTATATAAGCATCACTTGTGAAATCGATAATGAGTGGAGACAACTTTGCCATCACCATAAGGTGCTCCCAATATCCAAATCTTTAAGTGGGGAGGGGGGAGGTATATGCCTATATCCTCCCGGTCCAACAAGAAAGACAATCCAAAACAGCAGATTTTGAATGATTATGAATGAAATCTTTTCTTGTTCCATAAACAATTTAAGTCAAACTGAGTCAATATGTAAGATGAAACTAAATGAACCAAATAGCACTACAGTAGAGGCTGCAAAATAGGCTGAAAACAATGCCAGCTGCTTTATAGACAAAAGGAAAAGCATAAACAAGGTATTATATAAGTCATTCCTACCTAAGAGATGTTCCACTGGGATACATATCCATCACTAGCTTTGTCCATGCTATCATACCACGGCCTTGAAGATAACTTCCCAACTGGTTCCGGTCGATTGCAATAACTACATCGCCGTTTTTGCTTGAAGCAGGCTGTCTTTGCTTGATCATTTTACATCACAATAGGCAGAAAATAGTAGCAATTAGATAATTCTGCAGAACACTCCACATATTTATAGTTTGATATTTCACAGATATGGCAGGAGAATCCAGTAATTTACTTTCCATGTAAATAACCCACAAAGGAAATTCTCTTACTTTGAGGTAATTGATGCCCTATTACATGATGCATCTGCCTCATTGACAGCCCTCATTGCATCAACAACATAGCTACATGTTCAAATAAAAGATTATACTGATCACACAATGCAACTTTACTGGCACTGAAGCGCATAAAGTATAACAATGGCCTGTAAATTAGAAAGTAAAGAGTGTGCATGAAATTACCCAGGAGAAGAACCTGAAGTGATGAAGTATTGAGCCAGTGTAGCAGCAAACAGGATCAAATAGACAGTTGTGTACCTTGAAGGCAAGGAAGAGAGTATCAGCAGTTATACCATAAAGACCCAAGTAAAAGTAAAATCTCTACAAAAGCATTAAAAATGATCGAAAGGGGACCACTTTATTCAAACTCCATCATTTTCCTTTTGAATTGGGGACTACTTTGAATAGGATTATATCCAATTGGAGTACTGTTTTTCTTTTTGGTCAGATTATCCAAATATAAAAAGGCCTTCATTATTTTTAGATAGACTAATGAGTAAATAATATCACATAAAACAGAAGAGGGTGCATTTTAGCAAGAACCATAATACAGGCACTGAACAACCAAGCTGAAAGACTGCTGCATAACACTTAAGATTCTATCTTTTTTATTTAATGCACTATATTTCTAGCTAAAATATAACATGACCACTAATTACTAATGAAATTAGGCGAACCAAACAATAAAGTAAAGCCAGAGCAAGTTATTAGGCGAACAAAGACTCATTTTTTGCACTGAATTATTGGTTTTGCTCTCACATCATCGATTCTCTCATAGGGAAACACTTGGTCTCTTGCTAATTCTGAAGAAAAATAAAGATAACTTTTTCCCCAATAAGTAAAGTAAGAGTAAATACCATGGCTCTTCTTTAGTTTTATGAATCAAATCTTTGTCAAAGACAAATAGAACGCCCAGATAGATCAAGTGCAGCATCACCAACGCTATTCTCAAGCAACAAGTGGATCTCCGAGCTAAAAATCAATCAAACCAACAACCAAAAAAAAAGAGTAAGGTTTAAAACATTCAAATTAAACTACGAGGTTAGAATAGATGAAAAAATTGATACCGGGATCGGAGAGACATGGGAAAACGTGGAGACAACGGTCGGAGAAACGATCCAAGGTGTCCCGAGAGTGGCCAGCGCATAATGCTCCCATTTCACCTTCTTCGAAAAATTCATTCACTAGAAAACACTTGTTTCTCAATACACATTCCTCGCCGTCTCCGAGTATACAAGTGTTCTTCAGTTTAGTCTGAACTAACCGCAGAGTTGAAACTTGAAAACAACAAATCTAGAGAGATAATGTAGAGAGAGAAAGACTTTGGGTTCGGTCCAGAATTTGCCCGACGTTTGGAGCAAAGCTACTGAAATAACGAATCAACCCCTTCATTTTTCAAAATGTAACACTTGGCCCTCACTTATTTAGGGGTATTTTTTTTTTTTCCTCGTGCCAAACTCCCAAATTTTGGAATGAATAACTATTTTCAAATGGACCTACAGTCTATAGAAAAAAATTATTCTAGAAGAGCAATATAATTTGTATTTGATTAAATTAATTGAAATAATCCCTTTGTTTGGTATTACAAAAAGAGTTTGAGTTTGATTAATCACTTCACAGTTTTTTTAAGAATTACGTTATCAAGAAAGATACTCAAAAGTTAATTATATAATTTTGTATTAAATAAAATCGAGAAATTATCTTAAATATCTATGGAGAAACTTTAATTAAAGTATTTCAATTTCATTTGTTAAATATATACGTTAAGGAGATGTGATTTATAAATATTTTATGAGTTGCTTCAAAATATTTTTAGATTCATGAAATTAAAAGTTTCTAAAAGCTATAAACATACGAAGATGATGTTGATTGTGTATTTATAAAGCCTTATGAATATATAAAGTTGACATAAATTGTAAGCTTGAATTTCCATAATAAGATGTATAAACTAATTAATTGGTGATGTATGTAGTGGTTATAAATTTGTTTATTTATTGTGATTTTATTTTTAGTTATTCTATTTTGTTACTTAGAAGATATAGATAATAAGTTATGTCGATTTAGTTTTTACCATATTTTAGTGTCGATCTGCATGTTCAATAGCACTCATCATATGCTTAATTACACACTTTATTCTTGCATAAAAATGGTTGTTTTTTTTGTTCTAGTAACGTTAGGCGTCGTTTTTGTAAGGGTTGGTGCATCCAAAACCAAAAGCTCCTCTAATTCAACATATAATTTATAAGCAAATTATTACACGATCTTACTGGTTGTGGCGGAGCCAAAAATTTCTTAAAGAGTGTTCAGAAATAGCAACTTGTTAAGTTAAGGGTGTTCAAAATAAGTTATTTAATTATTCGTATATCATTTTACTTATATATATGCTAATTTTTTTCTGACAAAGGGGACACCCTTAAAAGTATATGGCTACGCCACTGCTTACTGGCTATACAAGATAGATTTTGTCCATCAAAAAAAACAAGTAGTTAAATACACTATTATTGCTTGAAATATGTACACAAATCAAATAATTTTAAATTCGGTGGATTCTTTCCAATCTACTTCCTTTATGATTTCGTTCGAAATCATATAAAGACAATTCCTATTTGATATAGCTATTTGTGCAAGTATTTTACGGTTAAGAAGCAACTATCTCTTGTACAGAAATGATGAAACTTGACTAATGTTTGAGGATTCAAACATGCTAATTCAATCAATTTATCTCTTATTTTAGAAAGGGCAACTTCTAGGAGTCAATTTTTATTATCGGAAAATCTAATTTAGCGTAGTAGTAATTTGACAAATAAATGTATTCTTACATTCGCCTAATTAATCGATTTAGAGCTTAATTATCAAATTGCATGTCCTTCTCTTTGGTGTTTGCTAATGTTGCTCCACCAAAGTGAATGGACTATTATCTTTTGACTTGCAATTTGCCAATGATGAAATAAAGGGTCTTAACTTCACACTAATTTGACATGATAGGCCTGCTTTAATTAAGAATTTAATAAAATAAAAAGATGCAATTTGTGGAGGATATTCATACTAGATTTTCTTGATATGGACATGATGATTAGCTAAAAGGGAATATACTCATAGTAAAACTGAAAAGGATGTACATAGTTTTAATTATTATTTTTTTATCTAAGACTGGAAGCTATACTCGTTTAGAGAAGTAATTAATTAATAATTAACTCCATTTTGTTCATGTCGCCGCGACGACAACTAATTGATTCTAGATGGATCTTCTTTGTTTGGTAATTCAGTAAAACGTCACCTGATTAATTAATATTCTTATTCAATCAACTAATATCCCTATGCTAGTTTATCGTCTGTTTTCAAATGGGAATATTGGCAGAAGTATTTTGATTATTCCCCTCCTTATAATTAGTTTATGAGTGAAAAATTATTCTAAATGAATATTAGCGCATCAAAACAAGTTATAGGTGGAGCAAATTCTACCAAGTTACAAGCAAGTGAGACAAGTAATTTTTACGAACGATCATTTAATTTTTCTTTTTCGTTAAATTAAAATTATTAATAATATAAGTTGTTAAAAGGGAAATTAATCAACTTTATTGCATACATATGTTCTAGCGTCCCTAATTAAAGTGAGACCATAAATTCTGAAGTATATATTAATCAATATGTAGTTAATATAAGTGTACAAAGTTAATTTTTGCGAGGTAAATTAAACCAACTGGCCTAGGTTGATGATGTATAAGATTCGTCCATGTACGGCAATTTTTAACCTTTTGCTCACGTCCATTTTATAAGACTTACTTATAAATAAGTTGTGAGATGTAGCAAGATACTGAAGTGAGAAACAAAAAGAAGCATACAAAAATTTTAAGCTCTCAAAAATGGTGAAGCTGGGAAATATTTTCTTACGTTACAGCGTTGCAATTTTCTTGTTCCGTGTTATTATTTGGTCATCAAATAATTATAAGTTGATGGTCATGGCAGATGTACCAGCAATTTTTGTATTTGGCGATTCAACGGTAGATGTTGGAACTAATAATCATTTAGCTGGAAGTCTCGCTACTGCTAACAATCCTTACTATGGAATTGATTATCCACACCACGTTGCTACAGGAAGGTTTAGCAATGGCTATAACCCTGCAGATTTCATCGGTACGTATAATAGTTATTATTATTCATCGATATGCTTTAGAACAAGACTATCTAACAAGGAAATTATTGATGATTGTTTAGCGAGGCATTTGGGTGATTATACAGAAAGCCCGCCAGCGTTTTTAGCCTTAGTTCAGAAACAGTCAACATTCAAGAGTGGAATACTTCGTGGTGTCAACTTTGCATCAGCAGGATCTGGCATTCTTGATGATACTGGAAATAAAGGATTCGTGAGATCTCAAAATTTTTGTCTCAATTTATGTGACTGTTAATAATATAAATTGAGACATATTTTTACATATGTGTTTTTATATAGTTAATTAATTAAATAATTGATTTCGCAGCATAACGTTACATCACTTACTCGACAAATAGAACAATTCCAAACAGTATGTGAGAACATTACACAAATATTGGGAGATGTGAAAGGTTCAAAGCTGATTGCAAATGCGTTCTACTTTCTAAGTGTGGGAAGCAATGATTTCTTCGATCAATTTCGTTTCAATTACAATATATCTACGCCTGAACTTGTTGCTGATCTCAGCGATACTTTTACCATTCACTTACAGGTTACAATATTCGTTCCTAGATATCTCTTAATTTTAACTAGAGTACTATTATAAGGTTCTGTTAAAAAGTCTCACATTAATGATATGGGTGGACTCCTGGACAATCCGCTTTCTTTTGAGCTAGCTTTTGGGATATGAGTTAGACATACGATTAATGGTAAGTTGAAAGATTTTATTTGATTTTTAATGCAGAATTTATATAATCTAGGTGCAAGGAAATTTGGAATTTGTGGGATTCCAAGGATTGGATGTCTTCCGGGCATACGTGCTGCAACACCTGGCGGTGCCTGTAACGAGACACTTAATGGTTATGCTCAAATATTTTTCAACACAACACTCAGTTTGCTGCAAGATTTCAGCTCAGCAAATCCAGGAATGAACTTTTCACTTGGAAATTATTTCTTGATGACCACGGGTGTTATTGATAATCCAGCTGCATCAGGTAAATATTTATTAATAAAGATTAGACATGATATTTGAACTACGTACGTTTTGAAATTAAATGCAATAATTGTATAGGTTTTGTTGAAGTTGAAGCAGCATGCTGTGGTACGGGACCTTACAAAGGATGGTTTAAATGTACTGAAAATTCTGATCTTTGCAAAAAGCGCGATGAATACTTGTTTTGGGATTGGTTTCACCCAACCCAAAGAGCATCTGAAATGGCAGCTTTGTCTCTTCTATATGCAACTGGGCAGGAATTTGTGACACCCATCAACTTCACTACATTGGCAAATATTCAACACTAACTAATGTGACCAAAAACAATGAAATAAAATTATGAGGGCCGGGTAACAGCTTAGTAATTAGAACGGAACGTTCATCAATTATCAATAAAATTGATTATGGTCTAATTAAAAGGGGGTTATATTGTTTTGTTCCTCTTTGTAAAAATAATACAGTTGGCCTTTTGTCTGATATTGTAATTAAAAATCATCGTCAAATCCGATATATATTTGGTCTGTTTCATCGCTTTCCTGCTTAGTTTCTTGTTAAAAAGAATCCTTGTTCTATGGACTGTGTTCTGGTGCTAATAAACCAATATGGCATCGTTTAAAAAAGAAATACTTTATTTTCTTTTTAATTTTTTTTTAAAAAATAACCTTTTTGTTTTTTTTCAACACTTTTAACTTTAACTTTCCACCTGACATGTTTAAAATCACAAAATTAAAAAATATTTTGATATATTTTACATAACTTTAATTTAAAATTACAAGATTATAAAATTATTCTTTCTTTTCTTAAATTCCATTTCTGTTATAAACATATTTGTGTTATAGTGAATGTCTAATTATGTGGAGTCCTAGTAGGATATGGTTAGGAATCCTACTTGGGGACCAAGTAAGGTTTTCTCTATAAATAAAGGGTTATCCTTCGTTATAAATAAGATTTGAGGAAGATCTATGAATCCTGAATATACTTCAAGAGACATAAAGAAGTCTTTTCTCTTCTCCCTACTTCTTCTTCTTCGAGGTATGATTTATCTTTATGTTATAATTATTTGTGTGACAGATCTGGAGGTACATCTAAAGTAAGTATTTAAAGATATTTATTGACTTTTTATACGTTTAATTTTAATCAATTGGGAAGAGAATTCCTTAATTTATTTTAATAATTGAATAAGCACAATTAAGTGAAAGGTATGTTTTCAACCTTTATATGAGGTATGTATCCATTA